CATAGGACTTTATTCGTTGAAAAGCTACAGGGTAGCCTATGATGTTCCTTCATGTCCTTATTAAACACTGTATATGTACCATTGATGATTTATATATATATATATACAATATATATATATATACAATATATATATATATATATATACAGTATATTAATTACATTAATTTCTATTTTAAGTATTGAAAATTCCATTTAAATTCGATCACAAACGCAAGCCAATAAAAAAAACAATGAGACATATCAGACTTAATTGGTTTTATTAATTTCCTTTATATGTTTATTTTGATACTTTTGTAAATTTGGTCCTACAAAGTTTGACAAATTACTGAATTTTGGGATTTGAACCCATGACATTTGGGTCAGTGGCCAAGCATCTTAATTTACAGCTTCATTTCTTGGTATAAACCAAAATAAATTAATTACAAAGTATGATAATTTAATCATTTTTAAGAAGTTTTCTATGTACAGTTTTACTTTTACAATGTGTTTTTTTCATGTATCATTCTATATTTTCATATCTATATTTAGTTTTAATCTATCTATGAACACAAATTAACTGCCAATAAGTACCATAATACTTCCAAAACTGTAAAAAACATTAATACATACATAACAAATAATTGCCTTAGCAGAATATGAAACATAAACAAAGACAGAATGCGTAATACTGTATGTCACATGTAGGCATAATTTCCAATAAGTATGTTAACAGTTCACTTACAACTTGGGAAATTCGGATGTATTTTGCAGTTTCTAAAGCACTTGTTTAATTTTAAGTGTTGCTATGATGAAGCAAAGAACTTGCATTTCAATTCCCTAAACATTAAAGGAGGATGCATTACTGTAGAGAAACATTTTAAAATTCAATTAAAACACTTGATTAAAATTCTTTCAATGAGATAGACAAAAACTATTCAGTATTAATTTAACTGAATTGAAGACTTTACTACAAAAGTATGTAAATTGACTACAGTACCTGTCATTTAAAGGATGTATGCAAAGATGATAATTCTTTATTTGTCCATAATTGGAATTCAGAAATATGAGTCAGGGCCCCTGGGACATGCGTAGCCGCAGTGCAGCGGCACCCGACTTCGCTAACATAAATTAATACATACGGATACAAACATTGTCCATAACCTGCCGAACTCTCAATATGAGGGTTATTCGATTGAGCCAAGCGATCAGACTCCCAATTAAAACCCAACGCTGGTTGGGTTTGAACCTTCAGCACAAGAAGCAGGGACAATACCTCTCAGCCATGGTATGATTTATATGTTTGTTAGTTGCATGGATAATTTTTCTCATTCTAATTACAGTAGTACTTTTTGGCTCAATGAGAAAAAAAATCAGTCACTCATGTGTAATTAATCATATCTGTCTAATTCTCAACTGTTTAATATTATTTTTTTTCTATCTTGGCCAAGATCTAAAAAAAACTCTAGTGTCTGTTTTTCCTTGGTAAAAAAATTGTTTTTAATCAAGAAAGTACTGTAATAAATTTGATACCGTTACCTAGATTTTAGCCCTATTGCTACCATTTTATAAAAAAAAACCAAAATGCATTTAGAGATTGACTGTTAATTAAATAGGCTGAGGCCATAATGAAGAAAAAAATGCAAACTGAATTTCACTGTACTGTACTTTGGTAACCATTTGATGCTCATCACGGTGGTGTGTTACAAAGCCATATAGAGTACATCTATGTACTTAACTAATTGAGGCTGTGGTAATATGTCAAATGAGGTTTTTATTTTTTTTTTAACTAGAAAAAAACAAACAAATCTTGCGTGCAATAAGTGTGACGTAATACCCTCTATAATACAATACAGTAATATACTGTACTGCTGTACAATAATAATTTTTTATCTTTGAAAAATGTCTAAAATAAGAACAAAATAACATTTTGAGCCTGAAATTGGCTAAAAAATAAGAAAACTGAGCTTGGGCAAAATTGTACTTTTTTTTTTTTTTTTAAGTGTACACCAACAGCCATGTACCATACTTTCTTGATTTGGCTGAATATTGTTAAGGTACTGTGTATTTGTAAACTTCAATGCGATATGGATCGAAAAACAATTAAGTTTTCGCTCAATTACAGATTTTACTACAAAAAATCCTTTCAATTTATGTGTCTATGCGAAGAATATTCAAAGAAGTGTTATTTATGTGTCTGTTAATTAGCAATGAAAATATTTCTTTCTGATTTACGATTGAAAGCTCATAATTTAGTTAAGGCAAGACTTTTTTCAAACTGTCAAAAATGGTGATTTTGAATAAATGTAAAATTTTGTTTTTGGCCAGTCAGTGCACCCTCCGCTACAAAAAATGGAAATTTCATTAAAAAACTAAAACTTTTTATTTATATTTATTATGCCCACTGATCCCCTGAAATCTCCAAAAATAATTTTGTACTTAATTATATAAATTTAAAGCATTTATCAATCTCATTACTACATTGTTTAATTCATTAACAACATTTTATTGTTTTCTTTTCTCCTCCGCCTAGATAGTTTTGGCAAAATCATTTTGCTAAATGAGAAAACAAAATTTTATTTTAATTTTTTTCCACCCTCCAACAATCTTCATAAAAATAAGTTAGCAAAACAAGGTATAAAAAGTCTTGCCTAATTATACACAGTAATTCTAATATGGATTTTATTCATTTTTTTACACCCAAACATAATTTCCTCAAATTTTGAAGAGAAATAAGCTAGATGGAGCATACACTGTACACCAGACATTTGGAAAATAAATAAGAATCCTTTGTCACGTCTATTAATATTTGATACTGCTGTATAACTAATTACTCTTAAATCTTAGTCAAATTACGAGATCAGACAGCTTTTACCCCAAGGTTTACGTTATTGCAAGAATCTATGATGTCCCTAAAGACTATACATACGCAATAACAGCTCTGCTTGAGTTGAATAGTAAATTTACACCACCGCTATCTTACAGCACTGCAGTAGTACAAATCTGCAGAAATTCTTAACATAAATGCCTAATTTTTAGATGAGATTAAATCTCTGATTTTGGTATCACATTGCGAATAAAAATAAAAGACAGACTTGTTATACTTTACTGCTACATTTGACAGTAGGAAAGATTACAAAAAAGAGCCCATCAAATATCTTAACACTTTACTGACAATTTTAAATCTGCAAATTACCATAGCAATTGTCAATCTCATAAAATGCATTGCTATAAACACACTTATCTACAATCGGCGTGGATCCAGTAAGGGGTGGGGGCGCACGTGGCCTGGGCCCCCCTCCCCAAACCCCGTTTTGGCACTAAATTTTTTAAATTTCAATGCATATCAATGTTATTATCTATTCTAAAACTGTTGTTTGAAAAATTCTGAATCCGCCCTTGACAATGCATCTGCATTACTGCCGATAGGTATGGCCAGTACAGGATGTTTTCATTTTTGACTGGCAGAATGAATGTGAAATTTATAATGGCAATGTACAGGAGAGAGCCAATTGAACTGCCTTCAATGTGAGTGCATGACATACACATGTCATAATAGTTAAATAAATCCAAGTCTATCATGCCATATGGTACAGTGTTATTGTATTTATCATGTCTTTACAGCTTTCTTTTGAAGACTAACAATAAAAGACACCAATAAGCAAATCCTCTAATTTTTTGTGAATTACGTTGGTTGGCATCTGCTACCTTTGGTGGTTCATCTTATTATGGTTATTTTATCATGATTCATTTTTTTTTTGATACGTTCGTCTTATTCATCCGGCATGACAGATCTAATAATAATAATAATCAATGATAATGGTGGTAACATCAATCAATATACATTTTAAACCATGTATTTTGTTATGATGCTAGACCAATAAATTTAATTAAGTTTTTTATGGTTTATTTTATCATAATTTAATTCATTTTGATATTTTTGTGTTATCATCTGGCATAATAGAAAAGAAAACAATTAAGATATTTCAGATCAGTTGTTATGATAGACCAATAAATTTAATTTAATTAATACTTATCAAGATACATTCACTCATCTAAATTTCTGACAATAAATTTTGGTTGATGAAAATAACTTAATACGGCATCCGAAAACCAAATTAGGTTTTAAATATATGTAATTGCATGTTCGGAATGATCACCATGTGGACTAGGCATCATTGAGGCATCATTCTTGCCACCATATCTATCTACCAAGGGATTAGATTTTCTTGGAAATTTCTGTTTATAAAGAACAAACATCATAACATACATTCTAATTGAAACCTATTTGTACATATCCATTACAATTTGAATAAATTTCAGGTGATGCATATAAAAAATCTCTAGCGATTACTAGCCTACTCATCGATAACTACTCGTGGCTGTAATATATTGAATATTATGTTGTCGGGTATAAAAATTGTTGTACTTTACTTGCTGAAGCAACATTTTAAAACATCTAAAATTAAGAGTAATTATAATAATAATAATAATAATGACTTTATTTGAAAACGGAAAACTTGATCACAAATTAAATGCATTTTTCACAAGGCCATTTTAAAAGTAAATATTAAAAAAATTAAAATTACAAAAACAATTACAAGACAAAAGAAAGATTAAAATTTAATCTGAAAATGTTTTAACACTCAGAAAATCTATAATAACTTCCAACACAGATTTTAATAAACTCCATTTCAAAAATTATCAAAAACATTTGTTGTCTCTGGTAAATTAATTTCTATACCTTTCTTGCAACATTTTGAAACATCCAAAATTAGTAGTATTTAAATTTAATCCCAAAATGTTTTAACACTCAGAAAATCTATACTGTAATAACTTTAACTTAAGTTTTAATAAACTCCATTTCAAAAATTACCAAAAACATATTCACTTGTAATCAAATATTGTGTTGAAAATGTACTATAGCACTTTCGATGATGAAAGACAGACTCTAAGCTCTTCAGTTTATTATTGTTACAATACCCTGGACATCGGCGATATTAACATTTATGCACAAACGGCTGTTGCCTGGGGAATTTTGCTAGTCACACTTGAGTGATTTCAGCATAGAAACCAATACAGGCAACATTTAAAACATTCACATCAACTATTCATGGGGGCATATTTCTAGGCATGGGTCGACATGATCTCTCATAGTTTTTGCAAGCAAAAATCCCACATAAACTAAAATTTTTTTTGGTATATATCTTACTGTAACGATCACATTTTGTTTTTGTAATGTTACTTAGCTTGCAGGGTAGCTTAGTGGTTAAAATGCTTGTCTCCCATTCCCAGGGTAGGCCTCCTATGCTCTAATCTTGACAAAATGTAAAATTTTTATTAACCAGGAAAAACAGCTACACTACTAAACTGGTCTTGTATGAGATTAAAAAGCTACTAAACAGGTACCCTAGTGTAAATAAGAAATAAAAACTCATTAACATATATTTTGTAATGGCATCCCTTCCTCCTGTCTCGGAAATTATTGACTCGACCTAGTTTAAGAGTGCAAACTATAGAACTAAAACGGCCAGTCTGATCACATGATCATTAATGGAAGCCATGTCCATACAAAGTACTTTCACTTTGATAAAAAAAAAAAAAATTCAATAAACTGCCCATTTTTATATAAATTATTTATAATGATTACATAAATTAATGATTTTCATCTTGATAATTTATCGGAAAATGTAACATACATATCAAATATACGACTAGAGAGGAAAAAGTATCGATTTATTCTAATATCAAAACCAACTATTAATCATATCATATCCCTAAGTTCCTATGCATGAACAATTCATAAGAAATAATTTAATAAATGTTGTCAATAGAATAAAGTAACAATAAGCTACTAAACAGTAATAGCATTGACTTTTTATTATTAGTTTTAATTTTAAAATTTCACCAAATTTTTAATTGATTACTTTGTAAAAGCCTTTAGCTTTCAACTAAAAATTAACACGACCCCCCCCCCCCCCCCCCCCAAAAAAAATAAATAAAAAATATTTTCACAACAATCACAATTAACACCAATTCTATGCATAGAATTTATACTGGCTGTTTTCATCTCAATTCTAATTGTCATTGCAGTCTAAAGCCTGGTTTCCATAAAATCGCTACACACTATCGGCGACAGCTCTTGGTCATGCCTATTGTTTTCCGTCAAGCCTTCCCGATTGTGTCAGGGATTGCTACGATAGCACTGAAAACACTGCAGCGATTTTAAGGAAATCAGGCTCAGTGGTGTAACGCTGGGGCCAGGGGCCACGTGGCCATCTGAGACTGAGGGCCTTTTTTTTGGTTCCGTTGTAGGATTTAAATGTGTTTTTTAGTCATGTATGTCATTGTATTATAAATGTTTTTAACTACGAAATAAATGATATATCAGCGACAGATCTAGTAGGAATGTTAAAAAGTAAGAAAGAAAAATAAATTATTGATTTATGGTTGGGGCTGAGGTAAGAACATTTACGATTATGGCACCTCGATGGCCTGAAATTGCACTCACAGGCTTTTTATCTCAAATTTAGAAAGACCATTTAATCCGTCAATGGATATCCAGCAGTCGATGTCAGAGACACATTATGCTGTTATGTATCAACAAAGCTCTTTTGGGTCTGGGTGCCAGATTGAGGAACCTATGAGTCGGGGGCCCTGCGGACCGCCGCACAAGAGCGCATAGGCGTTATGCCACTGACCAGACTTAACACTACACAGAAATTGTTGTAGCTCTCAACACATCTATTGTTAAAAGGAGAATAAGATGAGAATAATCACAATAACCAAAATATTCAAGCAGCACTTTAGAGACATTTAATCACAATGCTTATATTATTATTGCACTATATAGTGAAGCTTTATATTTTATTCCCAAGCCTGCTGCTATCATATTCCTATTAATATTCATCATCAATATAATGGTCATCTTCTATTGGAGGAGTTGCTGCCATCAAATAGCTCAGTCATTTAATAAAAATATTAATGATGAATGAAACATAATGCTGATGACAACAAAGGTGTATATCATTCAAAATAATATTAGCAACAGTGTAAACACATATTAATTAATTAAATTGTAATCTTCATAATGATAAATAAATAATGTGATGGACAAAAATATATAGTGTATCATGTTGGCAGGCTGCATTGTAACTGATGATGTCACAATGAAAAAAAAAATCCAATTAGAACACAGCTTTATTAAAGCATGATGATGAAACAACTCATTACTATGTAAGTTGCATGCCGAGTTAATACTGATATTGTCATTTCTTGTGTAAAGTGCAGTGGCAAATCCAGGAATTCACAATAGAGGGGTTTCCGGGAAGGTACTTTCACAGATGGGGGATCCATACCACCTCAGCCCCACCATGGTTGGGGCTGAGGTGGTATGGCTGGAAAATTGCACTCTCAAGACTTCAAATTTTAATATAAAAGTGGACAGTGGCAACATCAGAGGGGGCATTATTCTCCCTGTCAGATAGGTCAAGATCCCCCATCCGCAATTACTTGTTGGGAACTCTGTACATTGATCACATAGGCTGCCCAGGATGGATCCATGATTTTGAAAACAGATTGTGAGCCCTAGAATCTATTAGATATTAACACATTGAAAATGTCAAAACATTGGTGCCTTTGTCCCCCTCCTCCAAAATCGCTAATGTCCACAGCTAAAGGGTTTTGCTTTTTGTATCGCGCATTATCCTCCAATTTAGGTGATAAAGCAAAATAATTACATCAAGACATATACAAAGAATTTATTATTACAAAGTGATCTTGTAAGTGGTAAGCAAAAAGCGAAGGGCAGGGGCCTTAGGGTAAGATTGGAAGAAGTGATAGGGAGGGGGCATGAGGAGTTATGTTGAGTTTTGCATAGTTTACATTTACAGTATTGTTCATATCATATTATGCTTTAATGTTAACATTAGATTGATTTTCTTTGGCATGTCATAATAATGTTGATTGGCAAAAGAAACAAAGAAATGGTGAAGAATTGTACATATTTTCATGTATGATTTTGTTTGTGCTTAAAGTTTTCCAAATCCACTATGGACATTTTCTGTAATTTCTCAAAGCCGGATGACTAAAGTTTCCTTGTATCCTTGTAAACAACCTTTATATTTTGCACCAACAAATAAAAATTGTCACTGTTATGTGTAAAGAAGAATTTTTTTTTATCTGTTGACATTCATACTTCAATTCTTACAATCATGAATGAGTTGGGATGGAAAAGATTGGTCAACAGATGGAATGAACATCTTCTATTATTAACTTTCAAATGTCTGAAAGAAAAGGGCCCATCTTATTTATGTAAAAAAATTATCTTTAACAACAATAATCACCCCCAATGTACTAGGAATAAGTCTAATAACAACTTGATTGAACAAAAATGGAATCGGGTACAAGGCAAAAGGACATTTTTATATCGTGTAACTAAAGCATAGAACAGCCTTCCAAATGAAATTAAAACAATATTTAATAAACTGTTCATACAGTCTTAAAAATCTTTTAAACCATATATAATTTAACACTATTTAATTACTCTCTTCTTACAAAATATTGAATCAAAATTTTACAGATTTTTCTTTTTGCCTCTGCCTTTTCAATTTTGTTGTAAAGCTTTAAGCAATTTTGTTTTCGGAGCACTAGTTTTTTATTTATGTACATATTGTTTTTCTTTCTCATTAGTTTTGTCTTCAGTTTAATTTCTTTTTTCATTTTGGTTTTCTTTTATTCTTTTTACTTGTGATCCACTTGTGATACCAGTGCTACATCACTGAAAGTGTTATCACACAAAAGACAGAAATAAATAAACATTGATATTATTAAGTAGTCCCTAGCTGTTTACAGGTGTTTGTAGTGAGACAAAATTAATGAATGAATAAGCAAATGAATGAATGAAACAAAGTGAACAAATGACTGAAACTACATTTCCAGGCGTTTTGTATGCTTCACTCTGCAAATTGAGTACAGTATATGTATGTGCGCACCAAGATACAATCTGATCACATGCATATAAAATTAAACTTTCTCATGCACACATGAACAATTTTAGAAGCTGAAAAAGCCATGCTGTGTTGAACATTCAATATGCATCATCACTTTCATTATGTATGACAACATAAAACAGGCTTCATTTGTAGTATCCCTGTAATTGGCTGATAAAGAAACACCACACCAAGGTTCTCCCGAGGCAAGGATTTGACGGCATTATTTGTCGGAATAAAGAGACTTCCGACCTCTTTATTATAACAATCATTTGATGAATCAGATTACCGTAATGCCCTTTAAACATGAATAATGCCAAGGGTTTCAAGCCCAGGTTATTGCCTTCTTGTGTCCCTAACTGGGAGAAATTTGGCATCTGCTCCACCCCCTACCTAACACCCAAAAAAAAAACAAAAAAAAAATTCTGGAAATACTTTTTTTAAATTCAAAGAACAATGCACACACATCCACCCTGATATGAAAACTCACAATACCCCACTGCGACTTCACAAACTAAGGCCCTGTCTATACTATATAAAGTTTTATGTGACAAATTGCCATTACATGGGTGTGGTATGACATCACCATACCCATATATGGCCAAACCACACACTTGCTAGTGTGCTCAAAGCTTAACTATTCAAATGCATTAAAGATACATGTGGTAATTTTTTGGAAATCTTTCAAATATTTAATTTTTTTTAAAATAATTTTTCTCACTTAAACAATCAAATAAAACAATTCAGTTTTTTACTCATTTATAGACATTTTATTACAAACATCCTCAGATTTGATTATCAGCGAATTTAAGGGTCTATGAAAAGAATATTGAAAAAAATTGGCATAGTTTAAGCATCTGTTATCATAATGAAAAAAAACATTTTCTCATTAAAACTTTCAATTGATTTAAGATTTATTACATAGATTATATTAAAGTTCCATCCACACTATGAAGGTTTATGTGATAAGTATCGGTGATTTGCCCATATATGGATATATGCTGACATCATCCGACCTATATACAGATATCTCTGTGACATCATTATTCCCTTTTATGGGTATGATATGACATCATGCTCATATATGGATATATGACATTATGTTTGTATATGGGTATGATATGATCTCATCTTGCCTGTATATGGGTATGATATGCCATCATCATGCCCATATATGGTTATGATATGACATCATCATATTATGGGTGATTCACACACCAATTTGTCAAACATTAAAGTTGACAGTGTAGATCAGAACTTAAGACCTCATAATTTGTTCAGTTTACTGACAGCGAACACATCATCCATTGTGACAAATTGTATACAATAATTAACCTAATCATAGGTATGATTATTATTTCTTAATATTAGTTTTTGAAGTTAGTTTTTGTGTTCACCTTTTTTCTTAATCAATTACTTAATAAAAAACAAAACTATAAATACCAATGTGTTTCTTTGTTTCAAAGTTGTTTTAATCCTTAATATTATTCTAGGTAACCAATCAAGTTATATTTAAATTCTGGGGCGATTCATTTTAATCAAAACTGTTGTAATTTAATTTTTTTTTCTATGTTCATTCGTATTTAATAACATTTTCTTTTTATTTTATTAATTGAAATTGAATGTCTTTAGATGATTTGGTACAGATTTCTCCTCCAATTTCAACCCTTCACATATAACTATACATGCACACCCTCACACACACCCCCACACACACCCACCCACACACAAATGCACACAACTTGTAAATGTATACACTATTTTATCTTTCAGTTGAGCTTTTATATTTATTTAAAGACAGAATCGTTGATAGGCTTTAATAAAAATTCATTTCATTAAAAAAAATTGATTTTAAGATACATTTCCTATCATGATGTGTTAATGCCAATTTGACTAAATTATCAAAATATAGGGTGGTTTTCTCTACATATATCGAAACACAGGCCTGATTATAAATCCACAGGCACAATTCTAAACTAGGCATTTATTTTTAAACAAATAAAAAAAAAAAAACATTAAAAATATCAAAATCAACATTTTGATAGGATGCTTGGATCCATAACTGAGATTTCATATACAGTAAATTTTCTTTTAATTCTATCTCTCGGATCCAACCAACCTAGTTACAGTAGAATAGAAAGGTTACGTATACTACTCATGTATAATAATAAACAATAAAAAAATCTTTTTCCTATATGAAACTATGGACAAGGGCACAGGGAGGGATTATTATTTCACAGATAACTAGATAATAGATAGATTAACTAGGTTAAATTGACAGATTAACTAGGTAATTGACAGATTAACTAGGTAATAATAGATTACTAGGTCAGATTTTTTTTTTTCCTTAGGGTTGTTTGACACAAAATCTGTCCATGCAGAGAAGTATACAGTATATACATGTATAACTGACAGGACTACAACAATACTTAGTACAGGTTTCCGAAAATTATTTACAGTATAAATTTGAAATCCGTATGCCCATATCATTTTGCCCCGAGTTTTCCTTCTCTTAAAACAAGCAGCACTTCCGCCTGCTAGGTTTCTTGTTCTTTGAAATGTTCCTCTTCTCTTTCTGAAAATATATAAAAAATATATACATATAAAAAAATATCAGAATATAATATTATAGACTTTGATAGATATCATATAGAGGCATAGTTGCGTCAATGTCAATAAGAAGAGTCGAAGAAAGCAGGAGTCTAAAAGGTGAAAAATTATGAAGATAATTGTCATATAGATTCAGTTGACCCATTAAAAGGACGTTAATTACACTGATAGGTGTCATAAGGCAGGTGAAATCCCAAGGCTGATTTGAAGGCAATAACAGAATGTAGAGGATTTAATCAATGGTAGAAGTTAGTTCATTCACAGGATTAAGGAAAGCAGCAAAATGGGAACGCGAAGAACGGAGACAACCGACTAGGGATATAACGAGATCAACACGTTATAGGTTCGGTCACAATCGACAGTTTTAAATGTCAACATAGGTTATTTTCAGTATAATGCATTTTTTAATAGGTAACCAATAATTGTCTGCGTGGTACAGGTGAAATGTGATATTTTGGCATCTTCAATCTTGTAACAGTTTTTGATGGATCTAACAGGTAAACCATGTGGGTGAGCAATCTGGCCTGATAAAACTATATTTTAAAACAATAAAACCTCAATTAAGTGGACACCATCGGGACAAAAATGTGTAGGGTGTTCCCTGAATATTGAGTTGACCATAAAAAGATAAATTTTCCCCTCACCTCAAAACTATCCCTTAATAACCTGGATGTTCCCCTTATTGTGGTGTCTTCTTAATTATAGGGGTGTCCCACAGAAGGTGTTAGTTAAATTTGTTGAATTAGCTAAAAGATGTTTTTGAGACAAACTAAAAAATAATTACGTAATTTCAAAATATATTAAGGTATTTTTGTTACTATGATGCATTTTGGTTGTACCTTTCAGGCACCAAGAGTTTTCTGTTGTACATAGTTTAAATATTATCAATCATATCCCATTATTGCACATTTTGATTTCCTATCCTTTACTTGAACAATTCCTAATACAAAATTGTATATGTTGTTTTTGTTTTACCCTTATTGTTACACAAAAAAAATCTACTAACTTTTATATAACACTGTGATATTTATGTATTATTATTAAGGCCTTATCGGAGGCTTTTTTGACTTTTATTGTTAAGCACGATAATGTTTTTTCCTCTATAATTTAAGCATTATTGTCACTGATAATAAAAATCATTGTATTGTTATTATACTACTTTAAAATTGTGTGGTGTTTACGCATCATTATTGAGGCCTTATCTGAGGTTTAGCTGCAAAGCTACACTAATAAATTATTAAAATAAGAACTTCAAACTTGAAATGAAAGCACAACATATTTAATAAACTGCATTTTCCTTAACAGTAAAAAAAAAAAAAAACACCAAATATTTTTAGTCAGGGATTTGAAATCTAAATGGTTAACTTAAGCACCGAATATTTAAAGTGGTTCGATAACATCAATCATTTCTCTTCAAAACTGTAACACTTTCTTTTAACTGTCTGCATTGGACTGGAATTTAAATTATATTCAATAATTTTAACTGAACACTTTTTATATTTTGTTATTAGGCTTCAGTTGAAAATATTTTCCTTGTCAATTTAAAGATGCATAAATATATTTTTTCGATATTAGACCTTAAAATTTAAAGCAAATCTCCGGAGGAAAACAAAATTTTGATGTGTTGTACAATTGATTTTTTTAAGCCACACAAAAAGAGTATTTGATGAAAAACTCGGCAACGGTTAATGACATACAATTAGTTGAATATAAAAACCCCCTCCAAGTTTTTCGTCAAACACCTTTTTTGTCTTTAAAAAATCAGTTGAACAACATGTCAAAATTCAATTCATTTTATTCAGTCTATTATACATAAATATAACAGAAATGTGCTTTGAAGCTAAGCGATCAAACATAAATATAAGTATTAAGGGATGTTAAAACAATAAGATAAACTATAAAAACATTAAAAGACAGTAAAAAGTATTAAGATATATTATTAAAACACAGTACGATGATAAAAGGCAAAGATCAGAAAATGCGTTAAAATAGTATAAAATTATTGCATTTATGTTAAAAAGATTAAGACCAGGTTAAAAAATGTTTTCCTCCGGAGACTGGCTATAAGGTATTTTTTTGTAAGAAGTCTGCATATCGGTGAAAACTATTGGTTTTGATTTGTGCCTTACTGGTTGATAATTGTTTGATTCTTCTAAATGAGATAGATTTTATCACAGATACAGATACAACTGTGGTCTTCGCAATCTTCAGAAAATCCAAAAGCTTTTTCTGTGGCAATCTTCTAAATCCAGAAGTATTTACCAGAACACATTTTATGATACCACAATACACTTTAATAAACCATCTTTTTCAAAATAAATAGTGTGAATTTCAACACATTTTATCTGCCGCTCATCAACAACTATTTGTAATAGATGTTTTATGAACCTTGATTTATTTTGAAATATTTTACAAATATGTCAGGAAGAATCGCATCATTAGTTGCAGATGCTACAAAAGTTAAATTTGAAGTTGTAAACGTGTTACTTACATCCTTTCTTATTTCTCGAACTAGTGTATAAAAAGCTTCATCCTGTAAGAAACAAAGGTTATTAATATTAATTTTCAAGTAAATATAAAGAACTATTCCCTAAAAAATGTTTATATTTTTAAGATTAGTGAAACTGCAGTGGTGGATCCTAGGGATTTGAAATAGTGAGGGGAGGGGAAGGCCCAGGGGAGGACTTTTACTGATGGAGGGTCAATACCACCAAAAAAATGCATGATTATGGTACCTCTAGATGGCCAGAAATGGCACTCTCAGACTTAAATTTGAATATATCCACACTTTCTTGAATTTGAAAAATTTAGGGGGGGGGGGGGGGGGGGAGAAAAGGGATATTAATATTAATTTTCAAGTAAATATAAAGAACTATTCCCTAAAAAATGTTTATATTTTTAAGATTAGTGAAACTGCAGTGGTGGATCCTAGGGATTTGAATTAGTGAGGGGAGGGGGAGGCCCAGGGGAGGACTTTTACAGATGGAGGGTCAATACCACCAAAAAAATGCATGATTATGGTACCTCTAGATGGCCAGAAATGGCACTCTCAGACTTAAATTTGAATATATCCACACTTTCTTGAATTTGAAAAATTTAGGGGGGGGGGGGGGGGGGGAGGGAGAGAAAAGGGAAGGGGAGAGCCCAGCCCCGCTTGAATCCACCACTTACTGAACTGCTTGCACAACTGTACATGTCGTCAGCCACAGTGTGTGCCGAGCTTATGTGTGAAATCTGTGGATGTCCCTGCTTCAAATAATTTTGTATTATTGGTTGATTAAAAAAAAAAACCTAACTGGGACTTACAACTCCTTGTCTTGTCTTTGCTGATGTTTCAATGTAAGGTATACCGAATGTCTTTGCTAACTGTCCTGCTGATTTCTGATCCACATTTCTGTTTGGAAGATCGATCTTGTTTCCGACCACTAAAAAAAGAATAAATCGTAATATTTATTAACAGGAAGGCAATTAACAGCGCTGCTCAGTCGGCTAATCTGGTGGTAGCCACTGTGCATGCGCTGAACCGTGGAGATCTCTTGGTTCCCCAAGGTTCAATTCCCATCCCTGCTCTCCTTGTGTTTCAGCTGGAGGGCTGAAATGCAAGTTACGATCGCACACCGTCTTTCCGTGTGCATTATGGCTCCTGTGCATGTTAAAGAATGCAGTACTGTACACTCTTCAGAAAAGAGTAGGCAACTGTCTCCTGGTGTACTGACCAATCACCATCAAAAGGAACGCACTGGAAAGAAGTCTGCTTCAGAATTTTGTGGGTTATAAACTAAATAAATCCATACATCCAATTAAATGATCTAACGAAGATCTTGGAATGGTACTCTATATTTTATTCCCTATTTAATCAATCTGATGATGCCAGAGGATAATTATGATATATTTGGCAAGGCATTAGATCACTATTTCTGAAACAACCCTGAACCTTATTACTTGTAATATATATACTACAGGATTTTGAAAGCAAGAGAGAGTAGGTTTTATGTAGTTAATTGTGGATGAATGGATCAACTTCTAAGTTAGCCTTCAATATTCCGAGATTATTTTAAAGTCAGAAGTATCATGCAATGAATTTTCTGACACAAATTTGAATACATTATTAAGGCAGTGTTTTTTGTGTATGACTCAGTGTGTTTGGTCACATGACAAACAATGAACTGACCAATGATAAATGTCCTTACTGTAGTTAGTACTTGACAAGTCATCTGATAAAATTAACATTCATAGATTTGATTACTGTACTTACAAACCATCGGGACTTCTTCAGAATCTTTTACCCGTTGAATCTGTTCTCGATAAGAATGAATATCTTCAAATGACTTTTCATTATTCACAGCGTACACACATAAAAATCCTTCACCGGTTCGCATGTATTGATCTCGCATTGCACTGCAAAATTTAAAAAAATAAAATATCTAAAATAAAAATATTGTTATTTATTACAGAGTAATCCTATTTAAAAAATGTAATTAAAACACAGGCTCTCTGCAATTAAATTATAGACTACTATTGGGACTAGGGTTTTCCTGGTCTTTAGCAGCTTTGGTTGCTAATTAGAAAAATAATTAAATCATAAAAATATAAGGTATGAATATATCTAGGGCCACAGTAAATGGTACTTAATTGGAGGTGGTCTTTAATTAGAGGAGACCTACAGTATATAAAAATCCTAAAATGAATTTTTAAAAATCCCCTAAAAACTATTGAAACTTTCTTCTCTGTAACATGACTAATTCAACAGACAATAGATATATTTATAGATATGACATAATTGTATTTTTAGCGATGATGGACACTGGCAAAGAGAGAGTTTGAATTAAATGATAAACACTGGCAAAAAGCAATTTTGCGTTAAAGTTAAAAACTTCATCATGATCAATGGACACATTTATTTTCTTCTCTTAATCTGAGTATTACAATCAGTTTGTTAATTCCCAAAGCAACAAGGCTATTATGCTAATACCATAAACAATCTGTTAATCTAGTCATTTACAGTGTGCACCAATTATTACTGGCCAAATATTAACAAATGCTGATTTACTTCAAACTCTAACTTCAGAAGTGCTAATAAAAGTTTTAGTACTGCTCTTAAATATTAATTGAAATCAATTTTCATTAAAAAAATAAACACACAAAGCAAGAAATCCAGATTGTATAAATAGTATGTTGCAACAATACATACTGTACTATCAAAGTTAATTATAAATAAATATAAATGTGATATATTAATTATTGGCTGTATTATTACTTTTAAGTGAATGTTTTCTCTTCTTTATGTGGTATCACATCAGCTTCTACTGTACTAAAGAAAATGTAAACCAAATCATAATTTTCAAACTGATTCTAGTCTGAGTTTAATGTACTGCATAGTACTGTATGTAGTAGTCGCCAATTCAACTTCCTTAGTAGCCTTTCCCTTTGTGATCAAACCCACACGTTCATCTCTTTGTCAACATTAACTAAATTTAAGTTTTGCATAAAAGTATAACATTATCACAAAGCAAGGTCAGAATATAGTTACTTGATCTAGCACAACTGCATCATCATATGGCCAACTTGAACATTGTTTGTCTTAGTTAATCTTTTATATAGCTTTCTTTAATACCTAATGATACAAATTATTGAAAACATGAGTAATATTGTATAATAATAACCTGCTCGGCCACCAGTAAGTGTTTAGGGGAGGGGGAAAATTTCCCACCATACATGTAGTTGGGTAAGTACAAATCTTTCTGTTAATCAGTCCCCACTTTAGGTTGTCAAAGTAAAAATACTGATCTGCCGATCAACCAATGTTTTTTCTAGTGCCAGGAGTTTTCCCCTACAGTGTACATCCAGCGGTCTCAGAAATTTCCAGACTCATGTCGAACAACAATATAGCTATTTTACTACTAGAGTTAAATTGTTATAACTTCCCTCTTGACCCCGGGCTGTGATACTTCACTGGACCCCATTTGTACATTGTCCTAGCAACAGTACTTACGTGTATTAAAACCTTCATCTGATCATTATTTTTATTCATAACATGGCTTTAATAAAGATAAAATAAAGCTTTTTCTTTAATTACAAAACCATGCATCATACTGTTCAGCATAATTTTTAAGACTTTGATTTGCAACTATTCTCACTGGGTAACAATTTAACTCCTAGCTAACTCTGGCTTAGTTTTCTGGGGGTTAAATTGTTACCCAGTAGACTACTGCATCAATTTAAATTTCATGGTGCAGCAGATGAAAATACAGATAAAAAAATGGCCAAGTTATGACGTCAAACGCGACAATTAAACTTGATCAATAACACCTCAGCTCATGATCTAAAATTATTTTGAAGTCATTTAACAGCCATCATAAGATTGCAAGCATGTTACTCAAGTTGCATAGCTATCACAACAACCTGGGGAAGCTAGCTGTAGAGTGTTAAATTAAATACATAAATCTTAAGTGTCTTTAGCAACAGGCCCGCAGGTCTTTTCCAGGGATGGTATAATGTAAGATAAACTACTCTCTAAGTCATACATCACATTACGCATGCAGTAGCCAGCACATTACGTTTTCCATTGTTCTTTGGTTTTATCCAGGCCTAAGTAGCTGTCTTCACATGGTCGGGCACAATTTATTTATTTAATTATCATTATATTTTGGTGTATCTTAATTTTTACTGGTTAGAAAGTAGATATGACACACAGTACTGTTCCTATTTAAAAATGCAGTCACTAATGTAGACATGCACAGAGGTTTACAATTTAGGTTGTGTTTTGTGTTATGTAAGTTTTAACTTGGTAATGGTATTCATTCAAATTCCCTGAGGTCTGTTAATGCTCATGCTGTACAGTATCCCCCCCCCCCTATTTTTACATCATCACTGTTCATAACATACCATCTTTATACAACCTCACTGCTGATCCATACTGTCTCTTTTTTAAAGCAGTGAAACTATTGACATATCATCTACAATTTTTGTACAGCTTCACAGCTAACAACATGTACAGGGTTGACACCTCTGGGGTCCCAAATGGAAAGAAATCATTTCCGGGACTAGTTCAATAAGGTTTCTTAAAAACAGATTTAATTGTACAGTATTTTGCTGTGAGTGGTCATACCCATGACCAGCTGACTTCAATGACATACTGTAGGTCCTATGTTTCTAGTGTCACTGCTCATGCCATATAATGTACTTTATCTTTCTATAGTATCACTGCTCATGACATAACTGTACCCTATGTTTCTAGTATCACTGCTCATGCCATATACTATACTTTATCTTTCTACAGTATCACTGCTCATGACATACTGTACCCTATATTTCTAGTGTCACTGCTCATGCCATATACTGTACCTTACCTGTATTTTCTACAGTACCACTGCTCATGACAAACTATACTCTACATTCTACAGTATCACTGCTCATGACATATTGTACCCTATTTTTCTACAGTATCAATGCTTATGCCATATACTGTATTTTATCTTTCTACAGTATCACTGCTCATGACATAGTGTACCCTATCTTTCTACAGTATCACTTTTCATGACGTACTATACCCTATCTTTTTACAGTATCACTGCTCATGACATTCTGTACAGTACTGTACATTATCTTTCTACCATATCACTAGTATGACATCCCACCTTATAACTAGTATACTTGAGACATATCATCTCTTTCAAAAGCTTCACTTTATCTTTCTACAGTATCACTGCTCATGACATACTGTACCCTATCTTTTACAGTATCACTTTTCATGACATACTGTACTGTACTCTATCTTTTTACAGTATTACTGCTCATGACATACAGTACTGTACCTTATCTTTCTACCATATCACTAGTATGACATCCCTCCTTATAACTAGTATAGTTGAGACGTATCATCTCTTTCAAAAGCTTCACTTTATCTTTCTACAGTATCACTGCTCATGACATACTGTACCCTATCTTTTACAGTATCACTTTTCATGACATACTGTACTGTACCCTATCTTTTTACAGTATTACTGCTCATGACATACAGTAGGCCTAATGTACCTAATCTTTCTACCATACCACTAGTATGACATCCCACCTTATAACTAGTATACGTGAGACATATCTCTTTCAAAAGCTTCATGACATACAATCTCATTGTTACTTGCACTAACAGCCTAATTGCAAATACTTTAATCAAGCTCTCATACCATGAATGAATAATGTCACGGGAGACATCAAATTCACTATAGCACCTCTGCTTTACATACATTGTAATTCCTCACCAATGCTCGGCTCACTGATCATAAATAACAGCGTACAGTACCCATATTACCTTACTTATTAAACTCGCACAAATTCTTAATTTCAATATCAGAGTAGCAACTGGAACTCAAGGTTGTTAGAAAATTACAATAGAAGCTAATGAAGAGATTTTGTTCAATTGTTCACGATGCATCAAGATACAATCTAAAGAAATTCAAGCGTTGTTTAAGGTCAACCATTTTAAATGCATCCTAACAAGAGATCATGTAATTTGCCTTTTTAATACAATTCATGGAAAAGAATCAAATGTACTCATTGCCCAGTGTGGGTGTAGGCAGGTGTTGCTGAAGACAAGAATCTTAACCACAAATATATATGTCTACAAGTACCGGAATACTCCATTAATACCTGTAGACACAGAAAAATGTTGGGAGATTATTGTTTATAAACCACTTAATATTTGTGACCTTAAATTTTATGATTTCATCTGTTGGGATTTATGACCTTATATTTTCACTGTAATACAATTTTGATTTGATATAAAATACAATTGAAATATGGACATGTTTATGCCAATGATACTTAGACTGTAGCTGAAAGTGTTTTGCAATTGTAGGCCTATGCTCACAATTTCACAAAGTAAATTGCAATTAATGTGGGTATACTCGCTTCAGTTTGTGCTTCAGACAACTTGGTTATTCATCAATTGTTGGAATGGCAAGAGTACAAATCAATCACATAATTAAAAGCTTTTTATTGATATTTTACCAGAAAATACAGTGGTTTATTTTTATATTGAAGTATCTACAGTACCAGGAAATTTCACTAAATTTGGCATTTTATCAATGAAAGAGCATGGTTGCATGCTGTTCAGAAACATTTTTTGAATACCATTGCAAAAGGTTTGCCACAAAATTGAACAACCATTCAATTTCATGATTACATGATGTACATAGAATAATTTGTGAAAAAGATGCATAAAATTACAGGGGCTAAAGTAACAGGCAATTGAAAACCTATCCCATGTTGGAGTTTTCCGCTAGAAGTCCCACTCCTTGGATATAAGGGAGCTTTCAATTGCACAACGACGGGAAGACGTAGAACGAAACAACGTCACTGAAAGTCATCTGCGCATGCGAGAATGTCAAGTTTTCCTTGCCGCATGGATTCTAGGCCACATCTGGCCAAATCTATGTATGCAGAGAATGTAGGACACCTGGTAGGCGGGTCAAGCATTTGTGATTCCAGTTCCATGTCCCACAAAATGACAGCATAAAGACCCAGTACTTAAACACAAGCGTTTGTGGGAAAACATGCATTTATGGGTCCAGAGCACATTCATAGCCCTATTCTGATTTGTCAGTAAAGAAGGTTCATTTATGTAACCACGTAATAAATTATAATCCACACTGTTTAGGTACCAGACACACCTGATGAAGCTGGCATTGACTGCCAGCGAAAGTTTGTGTTGAATAAATTACATCAAAGTTAGTCTCAGAGTGCTGCCTTTTATAATCTGGGTACCAGACTTTGCAATTTGTATGTTGGTATTGATATAGCGCCTTTCCTTTCGGGTTACGAAGAGCTCTGTTTTCGCTGGTCATTGGGTCCACATATTGGTGGAGTAGCAGGCAACTCTAGTACGTACCCATACACTCCTGAGTGGAGAGAAGCAACGCAGATAAAGTGCCTTGCTCAATACATAGCCAGTCCCCACCACTTACTACTACACACAAACCTCGTACTACCATACAATATACAGTGATATTAAATGCCATCTGTTTGGCATCTTTGTTTACAGTTTAGGGATAACAGGTACTTAACACAAAACACAATACCGGTTATCTGTTTACCGAACAAAGATTTTCTCTTTGTTATATTAAAGTTAGGAAGTCTAGGTATCATCTCTATTGAATTGTCGGTGGTATACTTCCGTTCAAACACCTTTAAAACAGGATGCAATTAGCTTTATTTGAATAATTAGTAACCTGTATTTTGTATTAAATGATAAACATCTTTTATAGTTGTTTAATACAATGCTTTACTTTATAATACCAGCATTTTGAATATGTAAGGTATATATATCAGAAGATATAAATATTATTATTAAGTTTATTTAGAGTAGTTTTTAGCACATTCCATCCTACACAATCAGTAAATATTTCTATACGGGGAGGTGCCGCATTTATGGGGTATATTTTCAAGGACTTGGTTGCACAAGTGTGGGAAATATGGGGGATAGTTGCAGCATAGTTGTTACAGAATTAATTATGTACGACAGAATTATTACTGTCAAACTATTATGTGTACATAATTAATTCTGTTGTATATTGAATAATATACATCTCTCTAACTGCCTTGCCTTCTTAAAATGAAAGTTTTGATTTACTTTAATTTGTAATTGTTTATTTTCATGTCACCTTATCATATCACTTTATTAATATTACTTTATTGTTATATGCTTTGCTTTTCAATTGATTTTACTTACATTATTGTTTAATTTAATCACTGTCTGTATATATCTATGTTAAAATAACCTTAAGACTGGACTAACAGGCCTGAGAGCCAGAGTGTTTTTACACTATAGTTAATCCTAGCCAACTTAGGTTATATATTGTCTTAGTTTTTGTTAAATTTCCTTTCATTGTATTGTATGTTATTTCATTGGCTGAATAAAGAATGAATGAATGAATTTATGGGGTATACTTGGGAGGACTTTGTAGCACAAGTGTGGGAAATAACCAGGGTGAAATTGATAGGTGAAGTCTGTGGCCTATCCCGTGTCAAAGTGGCATGATTTTCCGCACAATGTTAGCGGGAACTTCAAACTAGACTGTGGGTACTAAGCCAGTAAGCCCCTTGATAAGCCTACCTTTGGTACAACCACGAGATAGCGACCGGACGGAACACTTTTTGCCATTGGAACCAGTCAATATTGCGCCCTCTCTGGCACTATTGAGTAGCTTTTTTCCTGTCGTCTTTTAGAGCACAGTGCGATTTGGTAAAATGTTAGTTCAAGTCCATAAGAATTTTCAGTAAAATAGGTAGCGCAAGTGTCTCATGTCTTAAAGTGGCTGCGGCACCCTCCTGTTAGCTAGGTATGCAAGTGAGCTCCACGGGGGAGGGGGCCCAATTAGGGACTATCACAGATAGAGGGTCCACCCACCTCAGCAACAACCATGGTTGTTAAGAAATATGTTTATTGGACTGGAAATGCACTCTCACTCAGACTTAAATTTTAATTTAATTTTTGTTTTTTATTCTTTTTCTTTTTTAGTGATTTAAAAAAATTTGAGGAGAGGTCGGGCTGGCCCCTCCCCTTCAATCTGCCGCTGACAATGATTTGTCCTACAGCCGATACACTACAGAGAAGCGAGCTGCTTTTCGATACTGAAAATCAGTCGCTGTGTCTGTTTACAATTTGGTTTCAAATATAGATCATGAATCTGGTCCCTGATTGTGTCAATTTTTACAAATAAAATTCAACGTCATTAGCGGCTTCAGCCACCGCGGTCTATAATCCGGTAAGAAAATCCAAACATTATACAAATTATAGCACACGGAAATGAAGCAGAATTATATTGCAATATCTTGGCGAGTCTAATGGTCCATACAATCACGATAATTCTATAATGTGTAAACAAGAACTTTATATTTCCTTTTCAGTTAATTTCAATTAAAGTTTTGTTGGTTAGCAATATTTTGGGAGATGCACTAGAATACTAGCTGCTTGAGAATCAGCCTGTGGGAAGTTTATTCATAGCATAGAGTGTATTTAACTTTGTTTACATTTGTTTAAATTGCACTATTATGATAAAATCCAAAAGCTGTCCACACTATCAAATTTTATTTGATACAAACTTATGACATCCCTTCATGGTCATGATGACATCACATCATGACCATATATAGGCACATCATGACTATATGTGGGCATACAACAATGTTTTGTCAAAGAAAATTTGATAATCAGGACAGATATAATTTTCAACATGCAAGAAATCAATTATGAAAATGCTGTGCTAGCGAGGGCTTATCATCTTTTTTTATACTTTATTCTAGAAGGCACGATAAGTGTAATGACAACGCTATTCAACGTAGTCTCAAGTAATTACAAAATTAAATGAAACACAAAAAATGTGATTCGTACCTGTACTCTTCTTGGCCAGCGGTGTCCAATATATCAAGTAAACAAGTTTCACCATCTATCACAACTTGTTTTCTATATGAATCCTCTGGAATAACCAAAGATAAGATAATTTCCTTTGAATATTTACAATGCAATTTACGATAATAAATGTGTGCCTATTCAAACCTAAGTAAGATAAATAGTAATAATATTTATTTATTACATTTTCTAACTCATTATTATTCCCTTAAATTGATCTTGATTGATTTTTTTTTAAATTTCATACATCAGTCATTCATCAGTGAATAAGTCATCATTCATTCATTAGGAATAAGAAGCAATAATAATGACATCTGTTTCGATGTGAGTTTGCAACAGGAAAATATCATAGGAGTGGTGTTTTCCCAGTCAGTACGTCCCCAAATACTTGCGAAAAAAGATTCGCAAGTAAATTGCGAAATTTTTTTCACAAATATTTGGGGACATACTGAGTACTGGTATTCGGTATAATAACACGTCAGGTAGGGCAAAACACCACTCCAATAATGACATCAACAACAAACTACTCTTAAATCTCTTTTTTTTTTCTTAGTTCTTTGTTGGTTTTTTTGCTTGCATTGTTCATAAAAAAGTAATGTTTAGGAGACTAATGAGAAGGTTTGACAATACCTTAGAAAGTTTCAATATAAATAAAGTTACAGTGTAACTACAAACACAGTAACCTGTTTTGCTTATTTTTATTTTTCATTTTTATTTCCACAATGTTTAAAGATGGTGACCTTTCCAGCCGTCTAGAAGGGAAGCCGATATTCAGGGGCACTCTTTAATAAACAATAAAAAATCATATATTAACCTACACCAACAGAAGAAAAAAAATACAGTATATTTAAACATTAAAGCATCAATGAAAAGCCTTTCATTGAATAAATATATATAACATAATGATCCTTATAGGAAAGTACAGTAACAAAAAAATGGAGGCGATTTTTTTTTTAGGCTGGTACAATATCGTGCGGTATGTACTATTTTTATGAAATCAAGACAAAGGAAAGTAAAAAAATGCACAAAGGCGGTAGAAAACAATTATAAAAATATAAGAATGTTTAAGATGTTTAAATACTGGTACCACCTATTATCTTATAATTATATACTGTAATCAAAACATGCAGATACAAATGTTTATGCACAAAAATAAACCTCTTACCAATTGTTGGATCGTATTCATCAACAAAACTGTGGAAAAAATGAGAATTGATTTAGAATATTGGTAAATAATTTCAACTGGCTTAATTGACTTTTCATAAAATTGTATAGTAAAAAATATGTCAACTGAAGAATTATGATAACATTTAGTGATTATAAGTTGATATATACAATCTCTCAATAAACAATATTAAATTAAAAATAAAATTTTCATTTTTGTCCAATTCCAAATATTTGAAATTGGGAAATTTTGGTTGGGCCCCTGGGAACCAACGTAACAAATACACTGTCCCTTACAGTACCCCGCCTAACTCTCATACGAGCAAACGCTCAATGTTTTAAATATATTAATGTAAACTTTTAATCAATTGAAAATAGAAAAATATATTCCTTCTTCCTATAGTTTCCATACAGTAGATTGAAATTGCCTTGCAATCAAAGAGACTCACGAAAAATGATTTGTTTGATACAGATCTTAAATCAAGATTTTTAGATAAAGATAGATCAAGTATTCAGATATAGATCTTATTATTATGTTGATAACATATTTCTGCAGGCTCTATTAAAATCAGCAAACTCCATGTTTAATTTAATGTTAATACAGTATCTAGCAGTGGCAGGCTTAATATATTTAATGTTATGCCTCAGTGAAGAAGTTCTATATATTTTTTAAGTATTCATGTTGTAAAAATGTCTTGGGAATGTTCTAAATGATGATTTCTAGGTCTGCAACATTACTTAACATATAACGATTTCTCGAGTACTGTGCACATGCATGCATCATTTGAATCATGATGGTGTCATATGTTAATGTTAGCATGAATGTCGACGTATGTAACATTACAAACAGACATAAGGATCAAATTCTAATTTTACAAAACGTTTCATTACATTGCAAGTTATCATATATTTCTATATACTGTAAAAAAGCTAGCCTCAATACATTCCCTTTAAATACATTTTACATTTAATTTTTAAAAAAATAATACACTGATTTTGATTTAGGATCAACATTATTTTAGTCCCTCAGGCCTCCTTGATCATAGGCACCCCTCCCCCCTTTACTTATGCCAATATTTTACATACAAGGGTTCCCCGGGCAAAATCCCAGCGTATGATTCGAATGCGTAGCCATCCAGGGGCCTATTGCTATAAAAAAAAAGTCTTGAAGAGCTGGTCGATTATCAGATAGCCACTCATAAGATCAATGTTATAAAATATCTAAGACTCTGAAGCATAGTGAAAGTCTTAACTGAAACCACATGAAGTATTTAAAGACAAATAATTGCTCCAAACCACAATTCTTTTTTGGGTCGCTAATGCAAATATGAATATTTTCAGTAGATTTGATATGATATGCTTTTAAATGTTAAATGTTGAGGCATAAACATATTCATGTTTGTTAGAACTACAACTACAGGCCTTTGTATTTGAAAAAAGTGGGTGGGTTTATATCCATGTTAAAATTCATGTTTTATAATATCCCTAGATAATTTACATCCATGAAATTTGCATTATTGGCAGCTTATAGGCCAATTAGCAGGCAAAAAAAAAAACAAACCTAACAGGTCTTAATTATGACAATAGTCTATTTATAAACTAGGTCATAATTATAGCTAGCTAATCAGTATTACTGTCAATAAATCTTTATATAGATCTGTTCCAGATATCCTAAATATAGATATTATATTATCTAGAGAAAAAACCATTCACTGAAGAAAGAGGTTTATATTGCTACCCAGTATTATAAATCATTTAAAATTACCTATTTGGAATACACTTTATCCTATTTTTAGTACTTTTTTTTATGCAAATTTTTTATCCATTTATGAAATTAACTTTATTTATGATCTACAGTACATGTTATTCATAAATAATTCAATTCTATTTTTCTGCAATTTGAATTAAAACATTTAAATACAGTTCACCTTCTAATAATATTATTAAAGATTCAATTAAAGACCATATATCTTCAATTAGAGATCACCTTCCTGTGGGCTCAAGTGAACACCTATCTTTTATCTCTTATATTTTATTCTGGGCAAAACTGCTAAAGATTATAGAAACTCTGGTCCCAAAAGTCGTATTTAATTGGAGATGGCTACCTGAAAACCTTGGTAGAAGCCATGTGGTGTGGGTCATTGCTTGTCCTAGCAAAATGGTGCAGTTTCTATTGTGCATTGTTTCTGATTTTTGCTGCTAAAAATAGATCCCTGGTTCTTTTATTTTTCGAAGGGCAAACTAATTTTAGAGTTGATTTAATGGACCAAAGATAATATCCGAGTTGCAAGCAATTTGTTTATACTTCATGGACCTGTGAAACACTTGAGTACAGTGGCCGAAGCCCCCTACTGTATTTTTAAATCTTACTACACAACAATTACAAAATATCTGTACAATCTGATACTCCTGTAAAAATTACAGCATATTTTTATCTGACTTTCTGTGTTGAGTTTCTGGCAACTGGCACCACTTTGAAATATTCTCTTAATTTCGTTTGTCACAAACTAGAAGTTTGGTGGGAATAGACGGTTTTTAATATGGCATGATGAGTAGTAACGTGATGCATAGTCATTGAATAGTTTCATAGGCCTAAACAGGCTTCATATTTAAATTTAAAAATTAAAGTATAGTCCTGTTTGTCAACATGTTTGTCTGGCAAAGCTTGAAACACTTTGCCTGCAAAATCAAGAATAAAACCAATATCACATCCCATATATTGTCCTGTAATCATCGCTCTTTTTGGTAGAAGCTTAGTTGTTATTGCACATTCCCCAGGGTTGCATTTTGGCCTTTACTAATTATTAGTTTTAGCTTGTTTTAAATATTTAATTTTTTTTCGCGGGCAAGACTAAATTGCTTTGCAGGACAAACTTGGCCCACAGGCCTCCTATTAGAACCAGGTTATGGATGATTTTAATCTACTGTACTTTGTATTGGGATTTCTATCTTTTCTTTTCATTCTTTTCTTTTTTTAAAAATATAAATGAATAACAGAGAATGTTTACATGGCACTTTGCATTTGTATAAAGCAAGACACCTCCATTATTATTATCGGTCACCATTATCATAACTTCTCGGAATGGCGTAATCTACAGTAATAGTAAAATACAGTATAAACACTTGTAATTTGACACCAATGAAAGTACTCATTCTTAAATAAATTATAGCGTTATTTATTTGATATGATGTATCAACACTGACAAGAACTGAGGAGATTTAGATACCCAAGAAATACTTGACGTCGATGCAGGAACATGGAGCTTTGAACGCTGCCTTCATGCATATTCAAAACCTTTCACACGGCAATGCATTTTTGTTTCTGCTACCCTGTAATTTACCAATCATGCATTGCTCAACAACAATTGTAAAACTACTAAACTAGTAAATCAAAACATTTTTGTTGTTTTCCCGATCGAAAAATGTTACCTGTCAAAAGCTTTGTGGTGAAGATGTTTGCCTTCCAATCCCCAGGGTCCTACAGTAGGCCCAATTCCCAGGATCCTAGGTCAAATTCCCAGGGTCTACTCTTACTGTAGTTTCAATCCTCGGGGTCCAAAACCATAATTTCCCCCTCTCGATTAAAAAAAATAATAATTTATCTTATTAAATATAATTAAAAATGAGGTATACTACATACTACAGGTGGACATTTACTATTATAATTTTGTCTTGCATACTCAACACGTAATGTAATACTGTAGACCCTAAACTTCTGAAGGGCATGAAAAGACATGATTTTTGTTTGACTGTACATTGTGAAACCAGCATATCTTGCAACATCTGATCAAACATCATTGCTATTTATTTGACAGACCAAAATGTGATGGTATAATCAGCTTTAAGGTTATTGTAAATATGACTGATCCAAATCAAAACAGGTTACATTAATGTATTCAATCAAATTTAGTGGATATACTGTAGGACATTAAAATAAGATGGCTAAGTTAAGTATTATGCAAGGCTGATGCTAATACTGTATGCAACACAACCATTTTATGTGTAGAAAATCCAGGGACCTAAATATCACCATTATCCAGGTCAGCCTAAATGTAGTTTTAATGGTTAAAAATGTATAAACAGTGTATTAACTAAGCACAGAGGCAACAGGAGAGCACAGCATACACCTGTGTTGTCTGGAATACAAACTTAGGCAGCCTCAATGTATGTTACCAAATTTAGCATGTTGTTTCAGTGACAATAACAATTTTTAATTTATCAACATTTACCTGGAAATATCAGTAATTCTCACAAGGTGGTGAAAAGCAAAGTATAAAAATAAATATACATCATCTTTGAGAGTTTGTGCTGAAAATCTGCTCAGGAACCATAAATTTAATTTTTTTTTTTTTTTAAATGGATGAAAAAGTAGGAATTCAGTGAATTCTGCACCAGTTGTGTACTGTACGTCAAGTAATTAATATTCCCGTAAGGCTTAAGTACCACTCGTCATACCTGGACATTTTTACAGGTTTTGATGGCATGTATTTTAAAAGTACCAGTCACTAGAATAATAATCAGTATTTAGTATTCATTGTCATTTGTACACCATTAAAGTGAAATTCAAAATTGCAAATGTTGGCTCAGAGTGAAAAATGTAAAACAATAAAGAAAAAAATAAAATTATTCCCTAGCAGACACCATCCTGGTATTTCAAATTCTAGATTTTGGAATTTACTGTTGAAAAATTACTTAAACTATGGTTATGGTAAATACTATCCCACACCGGACACCATCTCAGTATATTTAAGGCAAAGTTTCGGGGCCAGAATTGTACAATTACGTAAATTGTGCGCTTAAAACACCTTCATTTTTATAATTAAATATGTGGATTTGTTTATTAATTTGTAGATTAATGAATGCAGCTCTAATAATAATATACATAATTAAATGAATGCATCCGTAGCAAAATTAATTTTTTTTTTTTTTTTAATAACTAGTTTAAAGTCCCATTCACGACAAAATTACAGTTCTTAGAAAAATCAGATTTTTATATGTTATACAGTAAAGATTTATAAATAATACGGAAT